CTTTTATTGATAAATTTCATCTATAATCTTAGGCTTAAACTAATACTGGACTTGACATCTTCTTGCTCCTTCACACACAAGATTGACTTACTTGAGAAAGAAACCACAAGTTGTTTTTAATGCCAATCATCTCTTCCTGCATTCTCTATTTCCACATTTAGTACGGGATGAACAATGTTTCAACATCTAGAACCACCAATTAACTGCTATATAAACCATACCAGCATCAGTTCCAAATTGTCTTTACTACAGCAAGACACTGTTCAAAACACACAAGCAACTGAACTCATGCAGCATTTTCCCAGGTGGAAATTAGTGTACATATTTCAGAGATGGTAGCAAGAAAGAGCCAATACAGCACCCCACCACCCCCAGCATTTAGTTCTCTTGAACATGCCTTTTGCTGGGAGATTACCCTTTCAGAAACCCATTTTCTTAATTAGTTCTTCAAGTAAGAAAACTCAACAAAAAGGCTTTAAAAAGCTGTAAAACTCAAAACCTTGTCAAGTCATCTCCCCCTTCAAAAGTTTAGATCTGCACAGCCAAAAATAAGCACATAAAACCTTCATACTGCTCCATGAAGAACATTAAGACTTCCAATCCAAACAAAGACAAGAATGAAAATATTATTTTAACTGCATTCAGTTCAAATATTTAACAATTTGATAGCCTAAGTAAAAACCTCAATACTGAAAGAGCATTAAGGAGAGATACTCAAAACACCTGATAGTTAAGATTTTTCCTCCCTGCTGTGTCAGAATTGAGAAATAGACCCAGCCCTGCAGACAGGAAGAAAGCTACTGACAGAGGATGCTCAGCCCAAAAAAGGTCATTCCCTTCTTTCTAGCTCCTTGGAAACATTAATTTGAGGAAAAACAGATCATGCGCACACACACATTCCTAAATTTTTTCTTAAATTTAAGCATTGCTTTACCTGCACTCACTCCAATCCCAGCATTCCCAGAGTGCATAATTCATCCAAGAGCTTCCTAAGGATTTGTTGTAGCAGTAACTGTGCCAGCTCAGATCATCACTGCTCTCCTACACCAGCTCACTCATCTGTTCCCTGGCCCTGAGTATTATGGGCACAACCCATACTACCAGTTTGTACCACTGTACCATGAACTATGTATAATGCCCCTAGCAATAATCCCAAACAGCACACATGGAAACAATTCAAACTGATTTCCAACTAACTTGCCTTCAAAGCAACTTTCTGAAGATATCACAAGAGTCTCCATATTATCTCCCATCCTGCCCTTAGAGAAACCTGAAGAACATTAATACACAACACATGTAGAAAACTAAGCTTAGCTGACACATCCATGGATGGAAAACTCCCATGTGCAAGCATATCTACAACATAAAGTAAATCTAAAATCAACTCTGTACAGGTATAAGGCATTAAATATCTATATACTTTCATAATAAAGTCCTCAAATTAAGTAACTTGAGGAGTCACAAATTCATCTCTTCTGACTAACAAAAAGACAACTAAAGCTTTCTATGTCCCAATTAAAGAAGGCCAGTGAGCTGTGTCCATTTTTATAAACGTTGAAGTAGTCTTGTATTTTAGGATAGGGAACACCATGCTGTTTGCCTGCTAAAGTGTCTATATCCAGGGTCACAGATAAGCAAAATACTTCTGTTCAAAGGGCTGAGCTCTGGAGTTGCTAATTTAATCAGCTCTTGAAAAGACCATCACTAAGACTCAGGCTATGCTATCCAGCTATCAAAGATTCACCCTACTTATACTTTTAACTGACTCATTATTCTTAAAAAAACTAATGAGATGCCTAATTAGAGGAAATAGTTATAAACATAGGCAAAAGGGCCTTTATTTTTTGACTAGTATACAGATTTTTGTAGTACATAAAATTCACTGGAAAGTTTGAAAAAAACTGGCAGCTTTTAGCAGAACTACATGGCTTTAATCATTTCATGCAATCCCATTTCCCAGGCAGTACTGTGTTCCCCATCTCAAACCAATACAAGAGGACCTGTTTTCTCTAACTCCCCAGACCCACGTTTTTATTGACACTGCTGGCATTTCCAACAACCTTATGCAAGTGAAGACTGCAAACAATAAGAAATGGCTACATAAGAAAGAGTTATGATTCTCAAGATCCTTGCTGGGTATGAGTCCTGAAGAATGTACATTACAAGCTCCACAGTCCCAACACCCCAAGACAACTGGACTGCCAGAAGAAACCAGGGCTGTTATTGAAAGGGTTTGTAAAGTGCTGAGGAAGTCAGCCAGTGAGAACAACCCACCAGAACCCACAGCATTCTGCAGCACAAGCAGCTGCTGATAGCTGCACAAGTATGACATGACAAAATCCAATTTTCTTTATGCAGAGCTGTGTCCTGTGGGTCTTCTCCCTGCCAGTGACAGTCTCCATCCATTACTCACAGAGAACTTCAGAAGACTGGGGATGAGAACCAGTCATGCATACCAGAGAGCAAAGTAACAAACTGAACACAGAGAACTATTAATATCTCAGCCTTCATAATCATCTTCAGTCTTGATGGTAGACAATTAAAATGATGCCTTGGGATAGCTGCTATGTTAAAAGTGAGCAGTGAGAAACACATACAGATTACTTAAATAATGTATAATGACTCAGACCAAGAAGATTCTTAAAAAAAACCCCACCATTACCATTTACAGTTATTTCAAGATGCATTGCAATGAAACAAACTATTGTACATCCTTCCTACAAAGTACAGATGCCATTTAGCTGGAGCTCTGCAAAGCCTTTGACACAAGGCCCCACAAAATCCTTCTCTCTAAATTGGTGAGAGCTGGACTCGGTGGGTGAACTGTTTGGTGCATAAAAAGGGGGTTGGGTAGTCACATCTAGAGGGTCGTGGTCAGCGGCTCAGTGTCCCAATGGACATCAGTAAGAAGAGAAGCCCCTCAGGGGTCCATGCTGGCACCAGTTATTTAATATCTTCATTAATGACACAGACAAAGAGATCAGCCCAAAAAACCATGTCCTGAGCTTCATCCAAAGCACTAAGGACAGCAGGGTGAGGAAGGGGATTCTGCCCCTCTGCTCTGCTGAGACCCCACCTACAGTGCTGCCTCCAGCTCTGGGGTCCCAGCACAAGAAAGACATGTTGGAGCAAGTCCAGAGGAGGCCTCCAAGATGATCAGAGAGATGGACAATATCTTCTACAAGGAAAGGCTGGGAGAATTGGGATTGTTTGGTCTGGAAAAGAGAAGGCTTTGAGGTGACCTAATCACAGCCTTCCAGTACCTGAAGGGAACTTAAAGCTGGAGAGAGACGTTTTCAGAAGAGCCTGAAATGATAAGGGGGAAATGGCTTCAAACAGAAAGAGAGTAGGGTTTGGTTAGATGTTAAGAAAAAATTCTTTATTGTAGTGGTGGTGAGGCATTGGGATTGACTGCCCAGAGAACGTGGATCCAACATCCCTGAAAGCGTTCAAGGCCAGGTTGGATGGGGTACAGTGCAACTTAACCTAGCTCAAGCTGTAGCTGCCCACAGCAGGGAGGTTGGAAGTAGATAACCCTTAAGGTCCCTTTTAACCCACCCATGATAAGCTGGCAACTTCTGTTATATTAATACCTATACAAAAATACACGTTTGTCAAAAACAAGGACACAGTTAATCTTCTGAGGAAAAAGGAGTGTGTATTTACCAAGTTTATAGATTCTGCCATCTCCAGAATGGAGAAAGATGCAACAGCTTTAGCTGAGACCTAGAAATAACATGTTATCCTCACAAGATCTGAAGGTCCAAAACCACACATTTCATTTTACTAAATGCCATTTCATGGTATTCCAGACCATTCAGATGTCTAATTGTCCACCTAATCTGGAGGAAAAAAAACTCAATTAGTTGACAATCTATGATTAAGCTATAAGGTTTAATTCCTGTAGCACAAACTACACATACACATTCACCATTTTTTTTCTATTTAGATGACTCTTTGTGCTTTGGACCATAAAAACTAGATGAGAGAAAAAACTCCACAAAAATTACAAACCAATTACTGAGCTGTCACAGCTAAAATAAAGTTCTTCATACCTCACTGAAGATGTCTGTTTTGCTGAGAAAAATGTAAAAAGAGAAAAATGCTTCTTCCTTCCTTTGATCTACATAGCAACACTTCTACATCAACCCATCCCTGTTTAGGTACATCCATCTTGGTCAGAGACTGTCCTCAAAAGTAAAGGCAAGTGGAAAAGCCTACCTAAAATCAAAGCAATAGTTAAGATCCTTATCACATTCTCTAATTAACAGCATTGCTTTTTATATCACAGAGGAGCTAACATACCTATGGTTTATTTTCAATACACATACTTTATCCCTGGCAATTCTGACCCTTCTGCAGAAATCAGATATTGATGTAACTCTTGCATTCATGACAGCTCAGGGAACTACAGAGGCAAAGAGGTCATTGTGGGTGCTGGTTAGTCTCTATGAAGCTGGTTTTTACTAGTCTAGCTTACCAATTCTCCTCATACTAGATTAGTCAAGCACAAGGTGCAAGGAATATAGCAGGACAATCTCATTTGCCAGTCCGTCACCATTAAAGTGGCTAACCTGCCGTGAAAAAAAAATTAACGTGAAAGAGAAACTGAAAGGTTCTCACTGGGAAAACCAGAGTGCACTATCCTAAAGCACACTCTTTGGGAGTAACACCTTCCCCTCCCTGCTCCCGGCTCTCCGAAGCGCACATGCAGCAATGCCACAAAGGGCACAGCTCGCAGCAAAGCCCCTGTGGTCAGGAACCTCTTTCCCAAACCAAGCTTTTAACAGATTTTGTCTGCAGATGCAGGGAACTTCCTTCACACCAAAGCGGGAAGGAGAAAGGGGTTCGACACAGGAGGCCAGCCGGGCCCAGGGGCGGGAGCGGGAAGGCCACACCGAGCCCGCGGCCTGCCTCAGCACTCAGCGAGGCGCTTTGGCGCCCACGGCAGCTCCCCCCCTTCCCCCATCAAACCTTTCCACTCAGCTCGGCCGCCGGGAAACGTGGCTGTCGCCGCAGCTCTCGGCCCGAACGTGCCCTCTGCAGATACCCGCGGGGTCGGGCCCTGCCACAGCCCGGCGCTCCAGCGCTAATCGCGTCCTGCACCAGGTTCGAGCAGCCCCGCGCTGACACCGCACCCGCGCCTCGCTCGGCGCCAGCCGC